GGATGTAATTTTGGATTTTAGTGGAGTGTTAAACTTTTGCTTCTACTATTTTTCACGTTTTACTGAAAAAAGCCCTGCTGAATCTCTTGGAAGGTAAAAGTATTTCATTTAGTCATCTAAATTTTCTCTTTTAAAAACTTAAGGAAATAACACATTTTAACAGCTTCATCATCTGCCTAGATGAAGAAATGGAATGCATCATCCCCAAATTTGCAGCTGATATCAAATTTGGGGGAGCTGTTGCTACACTAGAGGACAGGAACACCATTCAGAGGGACTTGAATATGTTCGAGAAATGAGCCAAAAACTCTCAAAAAGTTTGCCTAAGACATATACAATGGCCTGCCCCTGGAAGGGTTTAAATTCCTGCAACAGAAAACACTGGATGCCAATTAAGATTGGCAATTCTGTGAGGAGCAGAAAGAAAAAGAAGAAAGAAAAAAGACTTCAGTGTCCTGTGGAGCAGGTTGGATATGGGTCAATAGTAAGATCTTGCAATGACTGAAGTTAGCTTAATACTGGGCCAAACCAGGAGGAATGTAGCCTGAAGGATAAAGAAGTCGTTTAGCCTTTTTTTAAACACTTGTGAGATCACACCAGGAGCAGTGCAGCCACTTTTGGACTCCCCAGAAAAGCTACTGACAAACTGGAACAAGTGCCATAGGACTGGAGGAAGGCCAATAAGACCACTATGGGCCTGCAGCACTCAAGGAAGCCAGGCTTGCTCAACCAGCCAAAGAGAAGACCATGGAGTGCATTACAAATATATATACTCATTCAACTATCTAAAAGGGCATCCAGAGATGAACAAGGCAGACATTTCAGAGATCCACAGCAAAAGGACATGAGCAACACAGGTTACACAGAAAGAAATTTCACAGTGATTAGGCATTGGAGCAGGTTGGAGAGATCCTCCAACATCTCTCCATGCTGGACTGTGGATCTCTGTCTTTGGTTATTTTAAATTTGGACTGGAGGAGGCCCAGAATAGCCCGATTCAACTTTTAAGGCCATCCTGCTTCAAGTAAAACATTGGACCAGATGATTTGACCAGAGGACCCTAACCATATAAATTTTTCACTGATTCTGCATGATACTGCAGGTCATGTATGGAATGCCAATGCTACGTAATATACTAAGGACTTATAGGCAGACAAACACATTAAGAGTTGTGCAAGTTCAGAAAATACTAAACTGAAGGACCGAAATTGAAATTTGGTTTTGTCATGAACGGGAACAATCTAATCCTTAATTCTGAAAAGATGTGACCCTCAGGCTTTCAGAAGCCTTCACTTAAATCATGATATACAGTATTACACAGAGGCACAAAACAGAAATAATATTTTCTAAAAGTCACTATATAAATAGTACATAACCTCATTCCATAAGAGTGTTTTCCCTCTGAACAGAAATTTCAGTGAAAATGCCCTGAATTTCACCTTTAAAAATTGCTTACACTATGAGTTTAAACTATATTTTCATGTCCTGTATTACACATATACTTGGCAAACATCAAACAGAAGAAGGGTTCCATACTGGAAGGAGTTTTTAATTTATGCAACTAGATAATGTGGACTAAGGAGAGTAAGGACACTTGAATAATGCATCTATCCTCATAAACCAAGGCTGATCAGGAATTTCTGAAAATCACTTGTGAAAACCGTTTCTGCTACTTTGATTCTATTAACAAAAGGATTTTTTTTCCTTGTAAGTATGGATTTGTAGCAGTGTATGTAACGCAAACCACATTGACAGAACAGTCCAACTGTTCAGACTCAACTACTCAGAAAATATTGGCTGAAAAAATTAAGCAATAGCCATCCTTCCTTTCTTATCTTATTCTCCAAGTTCTCTCTCTAGTTTAAAAAATTCTGGTTTATTTGTCTCTCCAGCTTGTTACTATTCATTTTTACTTTGCTTCTTAGCTGTTAGCCCATTGTGCTGATGCATATATACAGCAAGAATGTTTTCTTTAAGGGGAAAAAAAAAATTAAAACTAAAAAATCCATGTCCTCAAACTAATGAAAATTTTTCTGTTCCTGTCTTATCACATCAATTACAGGAATTGACAAATCCCAATATAATGTCATACTACACAGAACAAAAGTGTGACATGCTTTTTACCAAATAGCTATTTTCCTTTCCCTTATTAAGCACTAAGGTCTTCGCCCTTCAATCTTGTTTGTATTGAGGCTTATTTAGTAATTTTCATGGCTCAGTTCAAAACTATGAACACAATCTCAGAACTGATTAATCACATTTCTAAAATACTGACATTTGTACAATACAAGCATAGTTTTTTATGTACACAATATAGTTGTATTCATATATTCACAGACAACAGATTTTGTTTTTTCATTTCTCACTACCTTTTTTTCGACAGCAAGCCAAAAAAATTTCAAGATTGTCCTCAAATTAGTCATGGGTATTAAAATCAATGGTAAAAATATTGATTTTTTTTTTTAAAAAAATCATTTTCAGCTGTAATGTCTATATGAGATACATCTGCAAAACTAACCTGTGATCTAAAAAGCAAAATAAATCAGCCAATTCTGACAAGACAATCAGACACTGAACTACTCTATCTGAATTTGAATTACTATGTGGCCAACCCATTTAGGCTGTTAATACCAAAGATGCTGAATTCTTAAGTGCCATAAAACACAACATTCATACAAAAAAAAATCTCATTAACTGAAGCTCAGTTACAGAATTGTGTTAATATTAATAAGGCTGCCTGCCATATCCTTGCCATTTCACCCCACAAGGGCAGGAACTAAACTAATCTAGTACCCCAAATCAAGAGCTGATAGGGTTAATTGAAAGGAAATTGAAGGGAAATTGAAGGCAAGCATTCCTTGTGCTAATTAAAATGGAAGGAGGAGGGGAGAGAGAAATATCCTGATGATCTGACTCTGTAATCCCACTTGATCTCCCAGAGGAGGAGAGCAACATCACAGAAACCCGCAGTATTTTTTACCTCGCCTCAGAGTGCTCTGTATAATAACTGCCTAAATTGCTACAAATTCCTAGAAGAAACCCTTCCCTTTCATAAAAACAAGCCATGCAGTTTAAAGAAAGAATTGAAATTAGTTATCTGAAAGGAGTCAAGGCACTACAAGGCAGCACCATGTTCCTGATATTTTGTTTCTGCACTTCTTGGGTTGGGGGAAGTTATGAACATTTCCAGGGAAAGCACACAAGACTGATGACAGGTTTCCTCTGGGGCTGGGAATAGGAGACAAGTTATCCACACACTCTCCCAGTATGCTCTCCCAGACTGCACTGAGTATTGGAGGACCAGTAAGGCTCCCATTACAATTCTGAGCAACTTGGCAAAACTTTTTTGTGCTAGATAAGAACCACTGAGTGTCCTCCTTCATACCACAGCAGGCTGAAAGCTTCTGCTCTTGAAAGAGTTCAGCATTTCCTTTACAATACCACTCAAAATCATGGCATAGGTTTATTTACCAGGGCAGCTTGGGATGATGGAATTTGGGGTGCAAAACCATATGCTTCACCTGACCGTTTTTTGTTTGTTATGTTTTGGGGTTTGTTTTTTTGTTTGGTTTTGGTTTTTTGTTTTTTTTTTTTTTGGGGGGGGGGGCTGTTTTGGTTTGGTTTGGTTTTTTTGAGGTAACCTTCTCTGAGAAGGTTAAATTTATTTAGAAACTGTTCTCTAGAAACGCATATGCCACAAGGTAGCAACCTCCTCTCCTCTTTAACACTTTTTAAAATCACCTGTACTTTATAGTCATTGCTTTAAAATTCCACATTTAAAACATGGAACAAAATATGAAAGAAATTATGCTTACAGAAACCTCACATCAAGCTTTGCAGTGATCTTTAATTAATCAAGTTAATTAGACCCCTGAGACTTGATCAACATCCAATTTATTTGAAGCATAAATATTAACTGCATTAGAAGCGTTCATTGTCTCAGACAGAAAACCAGCACTGTTAAAACACGCTTGTAGCTTGCCCTCACCATCAGTTTTCCTAAGGAATAGAACAGATACGAGGACATATCTGTGTAAACACAAACTGGTAAAATATTTCTCTGAAGAGAATTGATGTTTCATTCCATTTAAAATTTGTATTTCTTGATATATAACTACTTTGCTTATTATAATTTTAGATTTTATTTGCATGGCTATTGTTTAGGCAGATTGACAACCAGATATATAAATACACACGGAAAATATCATGGTACCAAACAGAAGCATCATTTGATGAAGAACTCTCTTAATATACTACTGTGTACAGCCCATCTTAGATTCTTTACCTGTCACAAACTTGAATAATTTTAAGTATTTGGAGCACCTGCTGTTGGGAAATATTGCCTGGTCTTTGATTTTATACAAACAGCACAGTCTGCCATCTGTGCCAATCCTAGGATTTATGAAGCGTGAAAAAAGCCTGCTGTCCTAGGCCCTAACGTTTCTACTGCAATAGGAAAGAAAAAAAAAAAAAAAAAAAAATAAAAAGCAGCAATGCTGAAAAACATATGACCTGGATAATGATGCAAAAGAATAAACAACATTGTCTTGTTTCAGCACAACTGGTTCCTCCAATATTAATTATTAAGCTCTCTAAAAGGTTGATTTTGCCATCTCAGAAAGGAGTTCTTGCATTGCCAAATGAGCAATGCCTGACTGTTTTAATCAGTGGGATTTTGTAAGGAAACATAGCTGAGCGAGTGGGAAATGAAAAATCTATTTATTTGATCTGTTGAGAAAACTTATCCTGGAAAGTCTTGGTTCACTCGTATTCCATTTGGTGGGACATAAAGCTTTGGCTTTAATGGGCTAGGCAGGGAGCCAAGGTTAATCTTTGCTGTATGGAGGAGAAAGTAGAGGAAATACTGGTCTCTTGTAGCAACCAGCACTTATGAAAGATGTTACTGCAAAAAGAGTGGTTTGGCATTTATGGGCACGTACAGCAATACAGTGATACCTATTGTAAAGCTGAAACATGCAGACATTGCTTGATGAACTCACCAGCCTGCGGATCTCTCGCTCGCATTCCCGCTTTATTCTATTAACCTCATCCTGATGGGACTGATAAGCTGTGCGCAGGTCAGCAGCCTTCATTTTGTCTGCCTGCATAATGTTGTTCAGAGCTTCTTCAAGCTGCTTTTTGCCAGATTTCAGTTCCAAGATCTCCTGTTGCAACTTTGTCCGTTCCCCATCGAAGGCCCTGCGAGCTTCCTCCTTGGCCTCGCCCAGCAGAGCCGTCTTCACCTTGTCAGCCGCCCCGTCCCGCAGCACGTTGACCGTCGACTGCAAACGCTGGATTTCACCGTCTTTGATTTTCACCATTCTTGAGACCTCCTGCTCGTGCTGACGGATCAGTAGCTCTCTGACACTCTGAAGTTCCTTCATTTTCTCCTCGTGGAGCTTGGCTTTCAGTTCAGAAACATAGGCAGTGTGCTTGTGCTGCTCCTGTTCCCTTTCTTGCTTAACCTCTTGGATTTTCTCTCTCAGTTTACCCACCTGGAACACCAATATAAAACATGGATTAACAAGTGGTACCACACTTTTAAAAGTCACCAAGAGAGCTTTTTCTAAAACATGCATATCCTCAATATTCAAAACCTAAGGCTGTATACTGGACACCTCACTCTCCAGTAAACAGCTGGGGAACTAGGCCTGGAAAAAGGACATGTGTGTGTGTAGGAATCTGCTATGGGGATGTGCTATTGGCAATGAGTTCTCACAGTTTTAAGGAATAAAATAAAACAGAGCAGCATCCAATCTATTTCTCTCATTTCCTCCATCAAACACCTCAGACTACTCACCTATAACCTCTCTACCACTCCTTAGAAGCAGATGGGAAATTAATCGGAGATAAAAGAATTCGTGTTTATGCTGGGAATACAAAATTCTGAAGACTCCAATGGTTGTTCTTTTATTCCAGAATTAAATAGTTCAAGGTATGTTATATCACATATAACATATATGACATATTAAATATTATTATTCTAAGCTTACAACCCTGGACTTT